TAGTATCTTCTTAGGATCTTGCCTTGTCCAATATGGTAAACACGCGAGGTTCAGGTCCCTCGTCTGACGATCACGTCTCTTCTGAGCTTCCTGCGTCTCCAGCCCTCAAGGTCGAGGACGATGGTAAGTGTTCCTCGTGGCTTATTGCGGACCTGGATCTACCCCGTCCAACATGACACAGGAGGTCATTGTCATTTCTTTCATTTATCTAAACAAATTTGTAGCCTGTTTATGATTTGAAGTTCGATTCTGACTCTGATTCATCTGCAGCTTCCTTGAAGACGTCTCACCCGCGCGAGGAGGACGAGGATGGCTCCCTTTCCCCTCGAGCCTCGAAGAAGCGGCGCATCGAGGCCGAATCGGAAGGGCTTCTCCTACCATCTCAAACGACCGAATTGACCGATCAAGCCCCCGGACATCAGATTGAAGAAGAATTAGTATCCGCGCTCGGTTCTGGAATTGTCGATACTGTGGAACGCCAGAATGCCGAGCAAACTCAGCCGGTCAGCTCGGCGGGAGATCCCGCAGCGCCAGAGACAAATCCGGAGCTTGACGATATGGCGTCTGTCATCTCAAGTATCATGAACCATGCTGAACGGGTCGAGGAACAATGCGCTATGGGTCAGCAACAATTAACTACTGCGACAACGACACCGACTACCCCTGCGGATCAGCCACCGCCCAAGGGTCTAGTTTATGTGAAGGCAAACTCGCACTTGAAGATCCAGAGCTTGCCTATATTGGACAACCTGGTAAGAAATGCTTCTTATCCTGTTATGTGGATCTTCTAGAGGTCAATCCTGACACGTGTGCCGTTCAGTCTACCCAAATTCTCTCTCTTTTGGCCAAATCCACTTACCAGGACATTACGTCGTTTGTGGCTGAGCCGGAGTCAGAAAACGGACAAGCTTATGCGACCATGAGATCCCTCTTCGATCATACAAAGAAAGTGTATTCCTCCAAGGAATCGTTCCTGTCACCGACTGAACTTGGGCTCACGGAACCTTCCCAAGTTGACATCATCAGAAAAGCAAACCTGGCTTCATTCGTTTCAAGCATCTTTGGCACACAAGAGATTGGATTTGCTGAGCTAAATGAGCATTTTCTAGATGTTTTCGTCCCGGAAGGGGGCCGCCTGTTGAAAGTGCAAGGTGCTCTGTTTCTGGAGCTCAAGACCCAAGCGTTCATAGCCTCCATGAACAACACTGAGAGGACAAGGACCGAGTTGCTGTACGACCTGTTTCCAGATGATCTGGAGCAGCGCTTACTTGACCGACGGCCGGGAACTCGTCAGCTAGCACCTAGTGAGGCTGATTTCGTGAAACGTGCCGGCTCACGCCGGGATATTCTTTTGAACGATATTAACAACGAAGAGGCGATGAAAGCTCTGCCCGATAAGTACCACTGGGAAGATTTCCTCCGAGACCTGAGCTCGTACATTACGAAGAACTTTGATGCTATCTGCCATCAACAGGTTTGTTTTTCTGTGACTCCTATCTATCCTTGCCTTGCTAATGCTGATCAGACGAAGAAATTGAATAAGGGAAGGCAACCATCTTCATCGAGTGGCGAATCACAGGATCCGCCCAGTGCACCCCTCCAAGGCCAATTCCCTGTTGCTTCGCAAGCGCCTGAAGTTCCTGTTGACAAGAATATGCATGGTGACTTGGTAGCCCGTGCGGCACGTGCGGCCCAGATTGCCTTGCAGGGCCATGGATTGAGACGTTCTCAACAACAGCAGTCCCAACAGCACCAGCACCAGCACCAGCTCAGTCAGCCACAGCAACCAGGACAACCCCAGCAACAGCAACAGCATCAAAACCAAATCCAGCAGGCTCAGCAGCAACCCCAGCAACATCTACAGCCACAGCAAATGCCGCAGCAGAGTTCTCAACATGGGGGCCAGGCCCCTCATGGGTATACTGCTGCTCAGCCCACGGGCCAGCTGCAACCTCAGCAAAACCCACACCAACAGCACTACCAGCAGAGTCCAACGCCGCCGGGGTATCAGCAACAGCCCGGGCAGCTCACATTCCAGCAAAGTCCTCTGCAAGCAAACTTTCAACAATATAACCCTGGAGGTCCCGTCTCCATGGCAGGGAGACTTAACGGTGGTCATTCATCAAACCATGGTTATATGCCTGGAATTCCTCACTATTCGCAATCACAACCCACTCAGGTACTCTATGAGCGCGCTCGCATGGCGGCTTCGGCGAAATCTTCCCCAAGCAGTCGCAAATCCGGCCTACCAAGCCAGCGCCGCCCCTGGACTACTGAAGAAGAAAACGCTTTGATGGCTGGACTGGATCGTGTAAAGGGACCACACTGGAGTCAAATTCTTGCGATGTTCGGCCCCGGAGGTACTATCAGCGAAGCCCTGAAGGATCGGAATCAAGTGCAGCTGAAAGACAAGGCGCGCAACTTGAAACTCTTTTTCCTCAAGAGCGGTATCGAAGTTCCTTATTACCTGAAGTTTGTCACCGGTGAACTCAAGACTCGCGCTCCTGCTCAGGCCGCTAAACGTGAAGCACGGGAGAGGCAGAAGAAGCAAGGCGAAGAAGATAAGGCTCATGTGGAAGGTATCAAAGGCATGATGGCCCTCGCTGGCGCACATTCGCAGCCCGTTGCGCTCGGACACGGGCATGAGGCGATGTCTGCTTCTCCCGGGCTTCCGGATACTGGCAGCCATTCTACGTTTGATCAAACCGCGGAACAGAACCTGATGCAGACACTGGGCCAGGAGGTCCATGGGGCTCAATTTGGGCAACCTCAACATCAACCAGGTAACGTCGATCCCAACATGCACTTGGGGCAGTAAACTGGTCGTTCTTCCTGCAAAATGTTTTTTCTCCGGCCTACTCCAAGATCGATCTGAAGTCGCTGTGATTCTTACCTGTCTTTTTCGCTTCTGGTAAAGTATGCTGCTTGCTGCATTGTGTAATAGCATGGTTTGGGTCTGGTTTGGTCTGTAAGAGTAGGATTCAGGCATCTATTCGTATATATGTAAAATGATTCTGTACTTATATGAATATTATTTTCAGTTGTGCCTATTTTAGAGAATATCATGAAATCTTGCTTTTTGAGCGGTGCTTTTCCAAGCTCATCCGCATAGTCTAATTGTCCTCGGGCCGAACACGGACAGTATCTCAGCTTGTGCATCACCAACACATGTCGATTCGTTGTACACACCCTAGAAAGAACAGACACCAGCGAAACATTGTCCCCCAATTCGCCTATTTGTCCAACAGGGGTTAACTTTACCCGTCCATTCACTTCTGTCTCTCTTGCTCAAGTCACTAATAAGTGATCTGTCACGATGGCCGATTCATCAACTCCATCACAACCTCCAGCGCCGGCCTCGTCGCAACCACCACCTTCATCCCAGATCAGTTCACAAGAGCTTCCATCATCGTCAACACAGGTGACAGTACCAAGAGAGCCATCGGGTACTTCTGAAACCCCGGTTGTACCCAAACAGGAGCCAAATACAACGGATGTAGCAGCCATTGACGCCTCCATCGAGCAGGATATCGATATGAGCACCAGTGGCATTACGAACGCTGCAGGCGCAAGCGACGGAGATAATATGATAGGGAACCCTGCTCAAGATGCGGTGCCTACGTCTGTCGATGCTATAGCAGCGGCAGTGGCGCCATCGAAGAAGGAGACGAGTTTGCGCGAGTTTCTGGGCAAGATGGATGATTATGCGCCTATTGTAGGTCTAGCTTCTTTTTCTCATTTTCCTCTTGCCTTACTTTTGACAGCCTTTTCTGTCATGGACGTATCGCAAGACGTACACCCTTGAGCCATTCTAACAAGATGTAGATCCCAGACGCGGTAACAGCTCACTATCTTACCCTCGCCGGGCTACCACCCCCAGGAAACGGACCGAACCAAACTCCCCCGCATCTGGCCCGACTCCTCGCTCTCGCAACACAGAAATTCATTGCTGATATCGCGGCCGACTCATATCAGTACGCACGTATCCGAGCCTCGAACAGTTCATCCGCCAGCAACCCCATGGGCAGTCTGAACGCCGCCTCAGGTCTAAACGTGCCCGGCGGTACTGGAGGAGCTGGCGCAGCAGGCGGCGCAGCGGGTGTTGGTGGCGGTGACGCAGGCAAAGGCAAAGCGAACACACATCTAGGCATTCAGCGTCCTGGTTTTGGCGGTGGTGGCTCCGGTGGCTCCGGGCAAGGCCGGACGGTGCTCACCATGGAAGACTTGGGCATGGCCGTTTCAGAGTATGGTGTGAGCGTCAAGAGAGGGGAGTTCTACCGGTAGAGAAGGCTGGGTCCTGGTGGCGGAACACATCCGTGATGGTCAGTACAGCAAGCATGCGACCGGGTGTCATCCGCTTGGGCTGAAGGATCCTCCGTCTGCACGGTCGATAGAGCTCATCCACAATATCTGGATGACTACGAGAGATTTTGACGTTATATTGCTACACAGTCTTGGCGAGAGGGATTATGGTGGCTTTCTCTGGGAAGGCAGATTTTTCAACTTCATTTGGCGTACATACCGGGTCGAGGACGGCGGATATCCTGCATTGGGGGTTTCTTATATTTCGAAAAGAATTTTCCTTTTGTGAACTTTGCACGCAGGCGTTTTTGGAAGGCTGAATGGGACACACATTTTCATCGGTGTCCACCTCAACAAGTATACAATTTAGTGCGGCCTGATATCCAGAATAAAATGAAAATATCGACTCTCGCAAAACCTAAATAACTCCAACACAGTAACCGCTATTTTTACAATACAGATATGCGTAGATGTACACTTCCCGCCAGTAGAAGACGGAAGAGTGTCGGCAGGGACACGAGACCGCAGAAGAGCGAGATCTGCTACCCTCACAGTAGATATTCCCTGCTTGATCATTCTCAAGCACCCGCCGTAGCAGTACCAATCACTATCCCATCCCATAATGCTGCTCGCCCCAAGAACAATGCCCGTAAGCGCCAGATCTATCAAACAGTATCCCCATACCCCACCAGAATCACTTATTTGTTCTTGGACTGCTTGTACGTGAACCGCTTGCGAGTACTGAGAATGCGCAAACCGTCAGCTTCTGCTTCTGCCTCTCATCCACGATTGTCGGAAAGTCTCTCAAACTGAACGGGGCATCAAACATACGGAACATATTCGCCCAGCTTCCTCCCCACCATATCCTCCGTAATCAAAACATCCTGGTACGTCTTCCCATTGTGCACCGCGAACCGCAGACCGACGAAATTAGGCAGGATTGTGGCTCCGCGCTTCTGTGTCTTGATCGGGGGTGTGTTGGGAGGAGGGGGGAGTTTTCGCGGGAGAGGGAGACTGTCGAGGAAAAAATTGAGCGTCAGCTTATACAATAGAATCGATCAAACTCATTTGGTGTTGTCTCTGCGATCCTGAGGCAGTTATATTCAAGCTAGGACATGGAGATAACGTACGGCACAATGTTCGGGCCTGCGGTGATGGTAGCGGAATTAGCCATTATGCCTTCCTTCGAGACGTATGGATTAGATAGGAACAATCTTGGAAGACTTACCTTTCCATACTGATCGCCCCAGCAGAGCACGAGTGGGAAACATCTTGTCGATACACGCTGCTCAACAAGTCCGAGACTCCGGAAGTTGAGAGTCGCAAATCGATGCTTTTCGGATGGTCGATTATGTAAGCGAGTATACTTGGGATGCTCAAGATACCAATAGATTAATTACGGAGAAGAGGTCTGAACTTTTAAGATATAGCTATTATTCCTTTTTATCTATTATAGCTATTGACTGTGCTTGCCAGCTGTTATTTGTTTCTTCCCCAAGCAAGCCATCACCGTATATTTATAGCACTAAACAGAGCCAATAGATTGAATATCTTCTGATCCAGAAGCCGCCAGCGACTGTTGGATGGAAAGATCCCGTATTCCTGAATTTTATTCGATGTGCTCATTCCATAGCAAGCTCATCAAGCAGCCTGATTAAGCTCCGGACTCCCATGAGGACGTTTTCGTCCGGACCCTGACCGGGAGTCCAACTGGCGTGCGCAAAGTCAATCAGGCGGAGGTCGTGCACCTTAGGAGGCTCATCCTCTTCCTCTTCGTCCTCGAAGTCTATTTCTCCTAATTGTGCCGTTTCTGGACCAAGGTTGATATTGATTGCCTGCTGGGGTATCCCCTCTTGTCCAACCTGGAGGTTGACGACTTCGAAGGAGCCATCTTGCTGCAGAGCAAAATCAAACTGCTCGTCTTCTTCATCGAGCTCTTCTGGTGATCTGTCCCTGGGTTTCTTTTCTTCTTCTAGTGCTTCTTCCATGGCCTCTGGATCACCTTCGTAGACAATGAGAACACTTGCAGAATACATCCTGCTCTCTTCGGACTCCAGGATCGACTGCACACGCCTCAGCTCGTCAGCCAGTCTCCTGGCGATTAATTTGGACCGATCAACAGCGCCGGCTTTTGCGCCGGCGAGGAACGTCTCAAAGCCCTCTTTCACATTCTTCTCGTTAAAAGACCGTCCGTACCACTTGTCATAGCGCCTGTAGCCGTCCTTTTCAACGACTTCACCCCTGGCACCCTCGACTCCCTCATGCTTGGTGGCGTATGGATTGGTCTTGCTGCCCTCGTCCGTCTCTCCATGAGCGCCGGTCCAAATCTTCATCCCGGCAATGCGAAACCCAAGGCTACCGCTGGTTGTCTCTTTGGCCACAGCCTCCAGCTTGGTCCGTTTAGCGGGAGGCGCGTCATCAGCCCAAAGCCGCGCGCCAAGCTTCACATCCAGGACATTTGGGCGTTTGAACCCAGAGGCGACATTCTCCAGGACTATGGACAGCCCCGTTTCGAGCTTTTTTCCACCAGAGGGAACCCAAGTTTTGTTCTCAGCTACGCCGTTCGAGCCCCCTAATCCAGCATTCAAACCAAGTTGCGGCGCCTCCGCGGTGGTCGGCGTGGCGGATGATGATGATGAGTCGTCCGCAGTTGGTAGAACAATAGCTCCACTCTGCCGAGCAGCGGCAGTGAGCGCTAAGGGGCCTTGCTGGTCAGCAGACGATAAGGTTCCGATGTAAGTGGGAATGAACCCCCGAAAGGCGGGATGGAGGGCGCTGGATTCGTAGAACGCAACTTCCTGGGGAGTGCAAGGTTTCGCGATGAAGGAACCAGAGGGAGTGCAACGCACGCCGTCACTGTAGAGAAAGGTGTCAGACCAGTCATGCGACTACTGTATACGCGCACAAAGCGCACTGCGCTGACAACGATTGGATGCTCAATGCAGAATAATTCAGCCGCTAGAGAGGCTGAGATATGCTGACGTGGGCAAGGAAGGTGGGCCGAGTGCGATGGGATACTTACTGTCCAGCAGCGGCGTGATGGAAGTCGACAAAGCTGTCAGTATCGAGCTTGGGTGGTTTCACACTATCGGACCTGGAAGACGATGGCATGTTGTTCGCAAGAGAGAATACTCATATACTGTTGCACACCGGAGCGCCGCTAAATCTCATTTATTGCTCATTCCGGAAGATGCGTTTCACAGGTAAGGAGGTATTTCGAGGCCGCGATAGGGATGTGGGAAGTAGTAGTCAAAGGTGAAAGAGAAGAAGTCGTAGATAGGATGGTAGACTTAAGGAATGAAGAAAAGGAGAGACAAGGCAAGTAAGTTGTACTTCCGTCTACGGTTGGAATGCAATCATGATTGGCATGACTGGCACAAGGGGGGTGGAAATAAATGCCTGGGAGATTGCTCGAAATAATAATAATAATACCGCTCTAATAGTCTGAAGGAGTCGTCGTTGTCACCTTAGTGTCTTGGTTCGAACAACGGCCAGTTTTGATAAGAAGTGATCGGCGGCTCAACGCGGGCCGAGGACCGGTTGTTCTTCTATGGGAGCCATTATTTCTTGCAACTCTTATATCAGCTTGTAATAAAATATGTATTTAATATGGAATGGTTGGCCTTCTCGTGCCAACTTCAACCCCTTTTTAACCGGCCTTGTTGTCTTTCTAGCACATATTACCAGAGTGGACGATCAAGATGAGAATGTTACCACTCAAACTACCCAGTCCTTGAGTAAGAGTGTGCGCAACCAGTCTAGCAGGAGTAAAGCATCATTACTAGACCATTTTAGACTCTTGTATACTAAGCATATAAATGATAATGATTCCATAGAGTGGTAACAAAGGGCTCATTAAGATACGGACGGATTAGCTGGTTCACTGCCAAGGTGGGCCTTAATTAAACTCAACCACATAGACTATACAGTCTAATAAAGCCTCAGAAAAGCCTAACAAGGCTTCAGAGATACCAGGGTAAAGTTAGTTAAGATCTCAATGAGTCCTTATACTACTATTAGTATAGTAAGTGAAAAGCAAAACAAGATCCTCGATATAGTTTACATCGACCATTCAGTAAGGGAGATGAGGGAGTACTATAGGACCAAAACATATGTCTAAGAATTCGAAAAGCTACACCTACGCCCTTCGGTAGACTAATTGACTGAAATAATTGCCAGTCTGACAGGGGAATGAAACACATAGGACGGGGCGGATGTGGTTAGATCCTCTGGATGGTATCACATCTACCTCGCTTTGTCTTCTCACTTGCTTAGTTTCCCATATTAATCAATATATTATTATAAGTGCAGCTGAATTATCCCAATCATTGTAGCCTGCATCTGCTAGATGTCTTCCACATTATCCTCAAAAAGCTGCTTGAGTCACCACAGCGAACAGTGAAGCTGGAGGTGGGCTCTGTTTGCCGGTGAATTGCATGAATCAAACAGACTGAGAAGTAGTTGGACTGTTGGAGGGAGTGTTTTCCTTTCCCTACCAAGTACTAGTGAATTGAATCTCCTCTCTCTTTCACACATTCATTGACTACGTCCCGTCCCCGTCGATCTGATCTTTCTTTCACCTCTGTATAAGCTTGATCTCATCTTCTCTTCTATCTCGTGAGCAAACGATCTCATCCAGACCTCTCATGGCAATGGGGTCTCCAGAAGTTCCCTCGAATTCTTCCCCCGAGCTCCCTCTTCGACCTCGCGAACAATACAACAACCCAAGAACTGAGCAGCTAAGCATGGCTACTTCTACAGAACGCCAGACAAGCAAGCCAATTGAAATGACTCCGCCCCGGTCTGAAGCAAATGATAGTCAAGAGAAACTAGAGTCTGTCCCTGTTAATATGGTGGATTCAAAGAAGAAAAAAAAGAAAACCACCAGACCGAAAAGCAAACGCGGCAAGGTAAGGCATCTGTCCTTGGCCGGAATGGCGTTACGGACGAAACTGACACTTGCACTCTGAAGAACAAGCCGACGGGCTTCGAGGAATACAATGTGGATGCCCCTATAACACCCCAGGAGTATGCAGAGGGACGAGAGATATACGATGTGTATGTGACTGATACCACACCAGAAGACGAGTAGGCTGACAAGCGTTTAACTTTATCAAGCTCTCGGCCTATCATTCAGTAAGTTCCTCACTGCGACTAGGACTCATTACCTGCATCTAACATCTCTAGTCGAATGGAAGATGCAATTCTGCGCTTTCAGAAGAAGCGGCGCATTGAATGTGACAGACGGGAGATCTTCTTAAAGTACCTGCAATATGGAGGCGTCGATATTAGCCAGAAGATGTTCACGGGTGCGGACCAGCGTGATCTCAAGGAGATGGACAGTGAGGATATCCTCCTGGCCAGGGCCCAGACAAGCATCGCGCAGGAGCAATTGAACTTACAGATTGACTTCAACGCTGTGGTCAAGGGATACCTGTAAGCCTTCATGGCAACACAATGCTGCGACACCATGATGAGACTGACGGCTGAACAGGACATCCTACTTCCCGTACTACTTCAACCCCGAAACCGAGGACATGGTCAAGCTGGCCACAGTCACGATTTGGAACTTTCTCACATACGTCCTCTACCACGACGTAGTCCCAGAGTACAAAGCGAACATCGAGGAAGCCAGGAAATCCTGCGACATCGCCGGCAAAGAGCTCTGGAAAAACCAGCATTTCACAGCCAAAGGACCCGGAGACTTCAATACCGCTTGCTCTACCCTCTTCGGCGGCGTCTTCTTCGACCTCTACGTTGAAGACGATCAGTGGAACAACAGTAAGGACGATGCAGTGCGCATGACCAACGAGATCGCCCGGAAGGTTGTCAAGTTCGCGCTGGCAGGCGCCGGGGTCGATCGACAGGCCGTCCGATTCCAAGAACTTGCAAACCAAAATGCACTGCGGGCGATGTGGGTCGAAGACATCGATGGCTTTGAAGTCACCTCCATTATCTTTCCAGACGACGAGACTAAGGAGTTTTACCAGGTACACGCTCCAGATCTCCACCCCGTTGGAAGGATGCTCGCAAAGGCTTACCGCGACCCCGGCAAGCCCAACATTGACCTCAGCCCTGAGGAGAGACTTCAATGGGAAGAGGGCGGTGCACCAGCATTGGAGTTTGACTTCTTCCTTGAGGAGAGTCTGCTGAACTTGTGCTATCCTGGCATGAAGGTCATAACTTCGGTTTGGGAACTTAACTGTGGATTTCACTACTTCGATGAGGTGTTCACAGCCTACTGTTCTATCTACACGGTTCTCGCCAACGATTTGATGATAGGGTGGAAGAAACCGAAGGATTTGCGGATGGGCGACGACCATGAAGCTGATGAGACAGATGATCAGGAAGGCAAGGATCCAAAGGAAAAGGAAACAGAGGGTGACCACGCTGTCGAGCCGCGAATCTGAGCTTAGTTTCTTGCGTATCAGTAGCATGTGGTACACAATTCGATGGAGTTTAATCAGAAAATCGACAATTTTCCCCAAATATATACACACGTAAAATCATGTTTCTGATTGGATAAGCAGATCATGGCTTCAAGAGAGGCTTTCCCGTTGTCTTCCGCCCCTCAAGGTCGATATGCGCCTGTTGGACCTGCTCAAGTGGGTAGACCTTGTGGACTCTGACCTTGAGCTGGCCAGACTGGAGCAGGTTGAACAGCTCATTGACATAGAATTCGAATTCCTCGCGGGTCTCAATGTAGCCGAAAAGTGTGGGACGGGCAACCTTGACGCACTTGGGGGAGAGTTTACTGTCCAGGTCAGTCCGTGTCCAAACAAAGTAATAAAGTGAAGGAGCCAACTTACTTCAAAGGTAGAGGAGGAACGGGTCCGCTGGCATTTCCAAACCAGACAATCGTACCTTTCCTCTTGACGACCTCCAGACTTCCTTCCCAGGTATCCTTTCCGACGGAATCATAGACGACATCCACGCCTCGGCCGCCGGTGATCTCCTTCACGCGCTTCACCCAATCCTTTCCCCCTTCGCTGCGGTAGTCAATTACATGATCCGCACCGAGGCTCTTAACCAGCTCGACCTTCTCCGGACCACCAGCAGTACCAATAACATGCGCGCCAATGGCCTTGAGGATCTGCGTCATGAGAAAGCCGGCGCCACCCGCGGCAGCATGCAAAAGCACCCAGTCGCCCTTCTGCACGGCATAGGTCTCCTTCGCCAGCGACAAGACGGTCAGCCCGCTGAGGAACGACGCCATGACATCCTCATCCGAGATGCCGTCCAGGATTTTGACCGTCTTGGCCGCAGGGACGGCAGTGTACTCCGCATATCCGCCGGTGCTGAGCCAGGCGACGCGGTCACCGACCTGGAAGTTGTACGGGTTTGGCCCGGGCCCCAGGGCAACGACGGTGCCGGCGCCTTCGCGGCCCAGGACTTCAGGCTTTGGGGCGGGGTAGAGCCCCGTGCGGAAGTAGGTGTCGATGTAGTTGATGCCGGAGATGTTGTTCTTGACGAGCAATTGGCCCCCTTGCGGGGTGGGGACGGGGTAGTCGGTTTTGAAGTCGAGGACCTCGGGGCCGCCGGTCTTTTCGACCAGGACGGCTTTCATGGTGGTTGGGATAGACATGATGTGTGATTGTGATGAGGTTGTGAGTGAGGCTGTCGGCCGAAATGACGGTTGGAGATGAGAGCGAACAGCGGAGAGACGGACGAGTGCGGGAGATGTGACCGCACGGGAAGTACTGAGGTGGGAGATGAAGGCGCGGGAGAGATGCATTCGATGGGAAGGCGAGGAGAGTGAGGTTATAAGTTTGGACTACTAGAGGAACCTTCTTTGGCGATCTGTCATCGTCTTATAGAAGAGCATTTGTCATCGCGACTGCTATTTCTTTGGTTATATCCGATCTCTACAAACATTCCCCGCAGTTCCCCCACTATGGAGGCATTTGCAATGGACGATAACCTCGGACTTTGATCCGGTCTGGCTTGGAAGTTATATTATTTATGGTTTCAACAGCAGCTATTCTGTCCCTTATCGAGCAACTTCTTAAAACTTGTCCAAGTTGTCCTCTCCAGCTTTAATCAACATCCGACGGGAATGACGCCATCGGGTGTTATCCGAGTCCGTCGGATCTCTTCCTTTGGCCTTATCC